CCTCTATATTACTGCACGCCACTCAACTACGCATTGATGATGTCACCTTGATTGGTGACGAAACGCTTGCAACCAAATTGCTCAACTCAGCGAACAGTTTAACCGCCATCTAAACAACCTGAACTACCAGTCTTCAATTTCATAGCCAATAATAATAAAATTCATATGGTAAGGGAGGAAGGTGATGGATACATGATCACATGTGGTAAAAGATGTGCGCCAAAATTAGTGGGACGAGTGTAACACTGCCCCCGACTCTGTGATTGCAACCTATGCAATGAAATGCCAAATATTTATCTATCAATTATCTAGATCTAATCAATGAGCATGTCAAACACCAACCAGACTCAGCAATACGTACCTGCTACGCAGAGTTTTCAACTGACTATAACGAAGTAGCTCTTGCGATCTAGCGAAACCTCGTCTTCGGCGAAATCACCGAGGAACCTAATTTGGAGTTCACAAACAAGCTATTTAATGGTATGATTTAACTGGCGTATTCAATGCAGTATAGCAAATATCGAACCAGTCCCTTCTGTGTAAATTGCATGGCAGTGAGTGCTACAGCATGGCTTGTCTCCAAGGTGAACCCGGCACCAAAAGCAAAGTTCTTCTTGACCTGCCGCAACCATTGTACCGCATTTCTTCATGAGGACGACGTCGCCAAACCCAATCTTCAGACTAAGTGCTTTCTAATGTCCTGGCATGTCAATAAGCCGCGTAAAGTGAAGCATGAATCCCACACTTTCACTAGAAATGGTCATGTGCAAGGTGCTAACAAAGGGGCCCACTGCTTAAGGTTTTATTAATTGTACCTTGTTCTTGTCAGATAATGTGGTCCATTTTAGTAAATCTAAAATATGTACCTAACAACTTCAAGCCAGCATTTGCGCTAAATGTTTTTATGTTAATGTTTGCTCCTAGCTCTCCGAGGGCAACATGCTCCCAAAGAGTTCACCGAGACTGAGTTAGCTGATCAGTATTGCGGCTTTTCCAGAATGCTTGGTTTAACAACAGGTCCCCAGTAGATTGATGCACAGCATTAGCACCCGAGCTTTTAGTAGCGGTAGTCGTTCAGATCCTGAAAACATTTGCACAGCGAATCTCCTAGTTGTGCTCTCGAATGTGATAGTAACGGTCATCGATGAAAATCGCGCAGACTACCTGGGAAATTGCAGCGATAAGACAACCTGGTTTCCCTCAGCACTGGTCATGCAGCACTAGCATGCTGATGGCACGTTGCACTCGGGCGAAATCAGCCGGCGGTAAGGCCGGGATCAATTAATAGGGAATTGGTGATCGTGTCTCTGGGTGGACCACAAACATTTTTAAACCAGAGGCTATCCTTGCATGTTAAGTGATTACATTTCAATGTGATTTAGTGAAATTTGTTCCACACGCTTCGGTGCTGTGACCTTGAATATCCCTGGTGCCTCGAATGTAATGTTTTATTCGGATGTTCACAAGATATGGTGAAATATTGGTAGGAATATCTGCCAAAATAAAGTTTTCCTCTTATATGATTTGAATGGTCCTAGGAACATTCGGCGAGAATGCTACTTAAGTTTAACACAACTAAGTGCGAGGCGATTCATGTAGATCATCAGCTGTTAAGTGTGTGCAAACTTTGACATCCCACCTAGAGGAGAGTTTCCTTAGAAGTCGCCTTGGAATGCTGGTCCAGGGCAATTTCGCTAGGTTAAGTTATTTGGAGATGGCATAGAATAGCGGTAATAAGTAGCTCGGGTCTCTTGGCAACTTTGTTCGGCTTTATTCATCAGAATTCTCACGTATGCCTAACTCGTACTCAGAACCGCACTTGGAATGCAGAAGTTAGTAGTGAAACTGGTGGCAGAAGCAGGAACTCGCTTACCTCTAGAATGCCCAAATAAGTGTTTTTTTATCTGACTTCGCTAACTTGAATTTAATTCCCTAGGAATGTACAGCGTTAGGTATCGGCGCCTGCAATAGAACTACATACCGACGTAACGAATCCAGAACAACACAAACCACATTTGCACTTTTCCTGGTGAATAGTGTCACTAAACAATCCTGAGAGGCTATAATTTTAAAGCCGACCATACAGCGTAGTCGGTAGAAATGAGGTCTGCATTTCTTTTCTTTTTGTGCACCCGCCGCGGAAGGTTATTCCTACAGACGTTCTTTCTGCACTTAGTCTAACGACAACTGTACATTTGCATTTCATGAAATAACTAGTGTTGGCCAGGAGGCTACAAAAAGCAACAACAAAACTTGTTCGCAATTGCTAACCAAGTGGATTTATTCCTATCATCACGGAACCACCCGGTGGGTTGACTTGTGCGCAAGGAAACTCATTGGCACTCTCTTCGTTGGTTTTATGAGACCTACTATGTGTTCTTTCTACTATCCTTGATTCACCATTGTTCCACTCTTCTTTTTACTTATCGGCCATTTTATTTACTGATCGCTTCGTGGGATCACTACACAGTACTGAAGAACAAGGTACATGGAGACGATCAGCATGATAAAGAGTGCATATTTGATCTACCAAAATTTATTTATATTTTACAGGTATGCAACATGCTATAGGAGGGCTTATTTCAAAGCATTAGCTGAACTTCAGTTCCAGAAACAAATATGAGCAACCCTGCATAAGCCCCGGTGCTCGGATGAGTCAGTCTATTACTGCTGTTAGAGCATATTTTCTAGTTCTCTGATCCGTGCACTAAAACTGACCTCCCCCTAGTTAAAGTGCGTACCGAACAACACAGTTCTACACATCATTCTATCCATGATGCTTTGCACAATATTAGTTTTGGTCCAAACGTATCCATATCGTCGATGTTCTTTGCGACTATGCCTGCAGTATGAAATGCCAACGTTCTCGCACCTTCTGCACATCAAAGGTTTAGAAAAAATGTCGGAATGCCGTGCATCCCTGAAACTTACTGCTCATTTTCCTGGGGTTGATCCTGTAACGGTTCAATCAACTCCAGTGGAATGAAAACAATTTAAACTATTTCAGTGAGAGTTAGAACTAAGCATGAGCTATCCAAGTTTAATTCATTTTAAATTACGAAATAGTGGTACACATGTACTGGGAGTTTACATCACAACATTTGCAGAATGTGCTATGTAACTAAGCGTTATGGCGTGTAAGCCTTAAGTGGACTTACTTTGCTTAGTTATCGAGATGCATCGTATACCGAGGTGGGTTAACTTTTTATCGCTGTCTTAATAATCCGGGCAAAAATATAGTTTGAATCGAATAATATTTTGATTGCAAAAGTCGACTACGTGGTGCTATCGTTGCAAATAAACTGCTTGATTTAACTTCTTTTAAATGTTACCAGCTACGGCTTCTCTAGTTATCAGTCACTGTGAACTCAGATATCAACGCGATGCCTGGGATTACAAAGTAATGTGGGCGGCTTGAGATTTACCTTCCAGTAATTTACAGGTCTAATCTGCACATAAGCCGAAATACTGAACTGTTTGTAGCCTATCTGATCTTTAGCAACGTGATTGTTCCTAATAAGAAGGTGTAAACACTGCTGAATGGAAACAATGCATGCGCAGTCTGTAAGCAATGTGTGCCAGTGTTAGGAAGAGCAACACCGAAATATTTCCATTTCAATGTCGTTAAAAATGTAACATTTTAAGAATCATTTTCAGCTGGTGTGTACGTGTTGGCAGGTAAGGTAAACAACATTTCGAACGAAAAGCTCTCGAGTCTGTGCAATTAATAACTATCAGGAAATCTAACATTCCCTTACATTTATAATCAATGAGATCCTGTCATACTGAAAACGCCTGGTAAGAACCCGCAGTGAATATAGTTAGCATGCTTTGAGGAAATGTAAGCTCATTTAAAAACATGTAGACGCAACTGGATAATCCTTCACATGCGGTGTCATTCCAATCACCATGGATTTCTCATTTTAAACTATCAACAAATCAAAATACTCAACAGAGTAGTATAATTGCATCCCTACTGCATAGGACATCGGTATTAAGGTGGTATAAAAGCGATGTTACATGTGAGTCAAGCGACCAAGATCGCGTAAATTTTCCAAGTATCTTATGCTTTCAACATGCGCCTAGTAAAGAGAAAACTCGTTTAACTTATATATTGAGCAATAGCATACTATGTTATAAATGCGTCCTTACTTATAATGTCATCATCCGTATTTGCAAACAAGTGGGCCACGGTTTCGAAGCTCACATATACTGTGAGAATTAACCATCATCTCGTTAATGCGTTATTGTAAACTATCCGTAATATATACCCTTCTAATTACGTTTGTCCGCCCGAGCCTGCTTATGATGAATCCCAGCTGCGGTTCGTACCTCAGCTGCATTCTGGAGCAGGAGTGATAATGTATTAAGATGAGACCGCATGTACGGTGTTCATCACCAGCTTCACTACGCTTGTTCAAGTGATGCTTGCGACTTGAAGCCTAAAAGACACAAAATACACCAATTTCGTACACTGCCTCCCAAGTTAATTGGTGGAGATAGTCTCATTCCACTTTTGCAACTTTATATCACGTACTTCCCATATTTGAAGTTCGGCTTTGTCATTCATCACTGGTCATAATATTTATTGTCATCGACACGTTTTCCCCCAGGAAGAACATTTTTAGTATGAATGGCATTAGTACATCTTATTAATCCGTTAAGTTTCTCATCATAAACCAGAAAGTCGTTCACCAGACCATGTCACTGTCAAGGTGCAGTGTGTAGTGTCGTATCCATCTGCATATTTTACTCACAACAAACTCCATAGCACTTGCATCTTTCTGACACCAAAAGTGACTTGTATTTGTGATCTAAATGATGGTGTGATCAGTATATGTAGCCTAATGTCAGCATAAATGTAGATTGGAGTATGACTCTCAAGAATGAGGGTTACAGCTTCATTGTTAATCATATCAGCCGGATGATAAGGCAGCGCAGTCGTCGGTGGTTGATCGTTTATGCACACAAGGGAGTATAAATGAGTAAAATGAACTCACAATGGATTGCAACGAAAAGTTCCGAACGCAGTTTTTGCTTTGAGAGTTGTTTTGAGCGTAGAGTGGCCTTATTACTGACCAGGCAAGCCAGTCTATCACCCGTCTTCAAATTTGCCTTATCTAACACAAGTTCAGCGGTGTATACCTCTGCAGGAAACCGTGCATCTGATAAGGAAGTATATCCATCCTCATAAAAGTCAGAAGAATTAGTCATTGGATTCCCTGGGACGAGCAAACCATTGTGAAACCATTCAAAAGTTGGTGGAGGAACCCCACCCTTTACTTGACAGAATAGTCGTAACTGATTTTGTGAACTTTTCTCGGATGAGCTTTCCTGAGGAATTGGCACGATGAGCTGTCCGCTGGTAGTAGGTTGTGCATCACCGGAAGCCCCGATAATTATTGGTTGGGAGGGCTGCACTGTATAGAAAAAAAGATCGTTCGTATGCATGGCGTCAAAACGATTCATTAACCAACGTACTATGGAATGAAAGCTAGCGATGATTAAATTCTTCACTGCTCTCATAGTAGCAGCGCCTGCTTTGTAAGAAAGAACACTCTGCGAATATATAGCTAGGCAAATTACAATAAGTTAATTATAAATCGAGCGAAGTACAGTCCTAAAGTAAATGAACGGGACTTATTGTATCGATTCTTGTCTATAAAAGCCTAATATTTATTGCTGGTATTTTTTGTAAACAAACTCATTGAAGCGCCATCCGAAGATAGAAAATCTGACACTAGTCTGCAATACTAATTCATAGCGCAGACAGCTCCACATACTTGTCTGAACAGTTATGTAAATTTAAAGAAAAACACGCCCCATCAGATCCAAAACATTGGTATGCGCAACACAATTGAACTTTTGTTTAGAGAAATGAAGATGATTTTTTTACAATAGGCTAACTGGAACAAATACCAAAGAGCTTTGCATATGGATTTTGATGATTAAGTTAAAAGATAAGGTTCCCCTAGTTAAGAATATTTTGCATTGTATATTTCGCGCAGTACATTCAAAACCTATCCATCTGTCGCAGTGCTAATGCTAGTTTTCTTTGCGCAATTGCAAACAAAATTGTAAACACTGAAGTAATCAAGACTTTTATAAATATACTTAATGCATTAGACAAATTACACTGCTTTGACCCCATGTAGTCCCCTGAAACGTATAATTGTATTTTTGCCAGTTTTAACGTTAAACTTAAGCATCAAAGTGGCTTGCATTTTTAACCTGGTCAGACGCGTAACAATAATCGTGCTAACTTTTACTAGGCAACTCCTGTTTTAGGATTTGAAAACTGTCCGATGAAAAGCAAGCTGAAGATTTGCTTGTGGCATTTTATAAATTACAAGTGCTGTTTGATGAAAATTTAACGGGAACGCTCTACACACATACGATAACGCGGTGAACGCTCCATAAAGTGCTCCTCGTATTTCCGCATTTTCTAGGTGACAATTTGTTGCATTTCATTGCAATTACAACATTTTGTCTCGGTTTGAGGAACTCCTTCTACTAAAAGCATGTTCTCCAGAAAGATTTACAGCGGAGAATGTTTCTAACGGATTTACAAATTTGGGAAATTTTTCGCTATTATCCAATCGTTAATTTCGCGCAGTTTCCATCACCCAACCAGGAGGTTTACCTCCTTCGATAGAGGAGTCTGCCATATTTGAATCATGCCTCATTTTACTAACACGTGTTATAGTTACAGAGAAAGCAACGTTCCTACTCTAAAACCCTCAGTGAAGCAATTGTCAAAATTCGCTGCTCCTGACTCCAGCCGGTGCAACTGGCTAATTTGGTCAACACAATATTTGCCTGCACCAGACGCATCATGCGCAATCGTATGATTCACGGACGCAACACACAAAGGATGATGACCCAGTCACCTGACCTTGACAGGACGACCGACGACCAAACGCTTGGCGAAGGCGACGGCTACGCTCTGTCTACCCACAAGTAGAGTAACGAATATTCGGATATCATTGACACAACACCGAGAACCCGAACCTAATTATACCATGCTAAACGAACATGGGCTAAGGTACTAAAATTAAGCTTGACATCTACAAACTGCATCAACCGGTACACTTTGAAGTGTGTCACAGCCTGTCGAACGGAAGTAAAGAAATATAATACGCCAAGTTCACTTGTATTCTGTCCTGTGTTTAGCTGTTCCACTTGTGAAATGCTTACTAGCATTACCATAGAATTACGAAAGTCTAACCACCGATGCTGAACATCGTTTATATGCACAAATAGATTCGTTAGAGACAACAATATATGATAGCTCGCACCTTATGCGTCTCCTTTAATTGCTACTACGAAACGAAAAGAAATATCCAGGAGTTCGCACGGTGGCACATTACTAGCTACTTTGGAAAACATAAACGAAGTCCTCGTCGCAGGGGATAAAATAATTCCTTGCTCCATCGCCCACACACAATTACACAGTGTATCCACTGTCGTAACACCGGTAACATCGACTCGTCCGATTGAGCAAAGGAATCCGAAGATCTCTGCCGACCGATCTACCTATGCAACCGTTGCTGCTCGACATACTCAAATGGCGACCAAGTACTATTTTTGGCACAGCGACGAAACAGGTCAAGGACCAAGTGTAACCTGCAGAGACCTCACCAAAGCCCTTGATAACCGTGCTTCTTACATCATAAAAGACCAGACGGAACTACGGTGTCTTGACAGTTATATGCACCAAAGCTCCTGAGTCCAAGTCAACATCCTTAGCGTGTGAATAGCGAGATGACTTAAAGGAACGGAATTTCCCTAATTAAAGTATCAAAGTTTGAGTCAAACTGAATAATACATTGATCAAAACCAGACGTTTAACCTTGGTCTTACACGGAGCTAATGTGATACCATTAGGACCCATACATGATGTCAAGTCCGTTCCTTTGTCGGTATACGGCTTGCGGACGAAAGATAGGGGGGATGCGCATATTGCTAGCTGTTCCATTCAACAAACACTAGGGAGACAAAGTACTTCGAATAACTACAACACAGCAAAAGTTTCATTTTCCTTCCTGGCGTGCTCGAGTTAAGGACATCTTGCGACGAAGCCCATACTTATGATCTGGAAGAATGGCGTAATTACCTTGAAGATCTCTGTGTTGGAGGCGTCACGCTTCAGTTGATTACACCGTTACCCATGTCGTCACACTATCAAGGCAATGGCTCGAGGATACTGACAATAATGGCACAGTCACAAAAGATGGCGGCAAACTTAATCCGCAGTTGACCGATTCTACGCAACGAACTTCCTTTTAACTACTACAGTAAAAGGCAGTTGGAGGACCACAGGCGTCCGCATCTTCACTGAATCGACACCACCGCGAATAAATATAACCACAACAGCGGTTCAGAAAACGGTGCGCACCACCCGTAGCTATCGAGAAAGCTACCAATGGACTACATACCGCAGGTGCATGTGATACAAAATTCCGATTCTATTTGTATGGAGAGTTGGCATGCTATCCAAAAACCGTCACGCACCGAACTCTCATCGGTCGGCACAAATTCACATGCACATACTCAGGAGTATTTAATGTACAAGCAGGTTTTTATGTACACAAAAGACCAAGGCCTATTGAGTTTACCTTCCGAAATGCGGCTGTGTCAAGGAGCGAAAGCAGGTGACCTCATCGTCATAACACAGATATGGTTATGCCCTGTGTAAGTGATATCGAGACCGCACTGCCAGTCATGTCCGCTGTTCGGCACGACCGACACAACAAATGTGGAGGGGTGATGACGCGACTATACTGAATCGGAAATTAAACAAAGAGTAACAATATTTTATAAGGTTTACTTCGATGCTCTCTTGAGCCGCAGCTAACATATAATTCTACTCTTCAAAAACACTTACTATGCAGAGTATGCTTTGAAAGTTGGCAGCGCAAGGGGCACGTGGATACGTGACGAAGTATTAGCTCGACTAGGTGACATAAACAATTGGACCATTCCATCGGACGAGGCACCGGTTAGCGCATGGACGCATTTCGCTAGCCAATTTAAACAACTGGTTACAAAAGCATAAGCGACTAAGAACTACCACCCAAGATATGTAGCCTATTTTGTGCGAATCAGGACGCGCAAATGTAAAGCAGTGCGAAACTCAGCGTGGCATAGCTACAAACTCTCTATTTGGATGGCATGTACAACTTAATGCAGGCACTCTACTCCGCTTGTTCGCGAGGATAAAGTGGCGCATCACAGACGTTACCAATAAGTATGGCCTCTAAGCATGAGTTTCTGTACCAACACATAAAATGTCTACGTAAATTGAAACGACAATTCCTCCTCTGCAAACAGCGGACAAACAAATGGTGACAGCGAACACCCTGCGCCTGGAAAATGTTGCAAAATTTCAGTGAAACCACTGGCCACAAAACAATTTGACAAAACTTGTCTCACCTCCAAAACACACTCACATATGCTTTACGGTTGAAGATGTATTAACAAATCTGTTGAATATGCGCAAGTACAGCTGTCTTCAAGTTGAAAATGTGCACGCGAAGTCGCCAGCTGCGGCAGAACAGAGCTTAGCTGAGATTTTGTCTCGATCCTATAGACGCCATTTTGACGAAATCTATGTGCTTGAGATGCGGAAAAACTGGGTGATTATTTTTATTCACAAGGAAGATAGTGGTTCCGATCCAACCAATTACCATCCATAATCTCACTACCAATACTTTCACTGGTCATGGAAGCTATTATTTCTGGAGCGATGGCTCTATACCTAGAAGAAATTTGCCACCTCGCATCTGATCAGCATGCCCTCCGACGATATCAACGTGCAATACAAATCTTCTACTGGCAATATCCAATTGGACCGTGGGAGTAGACTCGGGCATAACTGCTGATGTGCCTTTTCTTGACTTCTCAATTCCGAAACTACCTTACTTTAATGTGAAAAAATGTCGAATGCTACACACACGAATCAGTTGACGTGCTCCTACAAACGGCAACTAAGAACTTCAAGCGTCATTCTGCGAGAAACATTTGAGCGTTTTGTCCAAGCCGGGCTTGGATGTTTGAGTCAGGCTGAAACATCAATAAAGTGAAGCATGCTTAAGCGAGCATTTGGACGATTCGAGCCATCGGTTTTTTCGCCGCTTGTCGGATAATAAATCCGTCTACATGTAGATTAGGTAATACAGACCTGACAGCAATGGATAAGAAAGGCGTACACAGCTTTGAATATACCCCAAAGCCGGGCAACAAAAGGTTTCAGACCTTTGTATAATTTGCCGTATAATCGAAGGCTTCAAGTGCTCAGGGTCTTCAGCGGAAAGTATCGGCGATTGCATGGTGACCTAATTTTAACTTAACAGATTTGAAAAATCCCAACCACGTGTGTTACCATTTGCTATAGCTCAATCATACCAGTACTTTGAGAGGCCACCATCTCAATCTATCAGAGCAGTACAGTTGTATGGAATGCCGTCGAAATTACTTTTTCATACGCGTTTGAAGAACGTGGGATACCCTACCGGATTCTGTCATATATATCCCACGCTGGCAGTGTTCAAAACCCGAGTTGACCGTACACTCACTTCGCTGCACCATTTCACATGACTCACTAGCCACGGATAAGCACAAAGGTCCGATGAGCTCCAAGAAATCGTTCCACCATTTTCTACTCCCTTATGGATTCACGAGAATGCGATACGGTTTGTCACCAACATCTCATTTGTTGTCACTCCATATGGGTTACATTGGATAAACGGTTTATGCTACGTATACTGTGGTGAGTCCACCGGTCTAAACCAAATTTTTCTGAAATTCGTCTATATTTTAACATTTCAACATGACTATCCTTCGGGACCTGGTAATAACTAGCTTTTGTACATTATTCCATTGTTCCACATAAGAAACAGTTTGAAAGTCAATGAAAGCGTTTAGCGTATTTAAAGCTGTGTTACACGTTATAAATTCAGCTTTTGCTCTCCATCACCGGATAAAATAAATTGCATTTATTCAGGTCATTATTTTGACAATTTCCCGTGATCCTGGTCCACAGAGCAAAACCTACCATATAACTTGTTGTTTATGTCTTAAATGAACAAACTATATCTATCCTGATGTCGATAATTTTAAATAGGTATTAAAAATACGCAACCATTTGACTGATTCAATAGTTTGCTTAGATTGCAGCTATATAGTAACTCTCGATGGATTCATGCAAAGTTTTAGAATGCTTTTCGGTGAATCTGCGTCACTATCCGCTTAGATGTTATTAATCTCATTTGAGTGACAAGGTACATTTTACCAAAATAACTTGTCAGTTAATACAAGCTGTAAGCGAGAACCGAAGTTCTTTTCAGCAGACAGGTGACGTGACCACATATTAGTCACATCTAGATTAGAAACTCACAAATGATTGTTCATTGCAATTAACCAACTAAATATCGGACCTTTTTTGAATTAAGTCCGGGAAAGCCTACTTAACAGAACAGTTGAGAATCGCATCAAATATGTTATCATTATCTGCTGAATTTTTCTTGCATAGCCAACGGCGAATGTGAAGATCTTATTTCTTCTCTCTTATTTACTCAGCGATCTAACAAAATCAGCATTGGATCACATCGGCTTCCACTGGTTTCATAAAAATGTTCGACGAGATAATTTGAGTTGTTGCCGAAGAACATGTGATGCCATACTGACGTTTCGGGATCCGAAGACAACAACATACCAAAGGTTAGTTTCGCACCTTGTTAAACATTTGGATGAGACATTAATCAGGTTTAAAAGATTAACACAACAAGATTTAGCCTGATTCTGTGCTGACTACTTGGCTGGACATGCTTTTGATGCCTTTGACTGCAGTGCATATGTTGGACATGGAAACATCAGTGATTAATTTTCGGGGTGCACCGAAATATGCTTAAAACCTGAACTGGTTCTTCACGAATAATAATTACTATAGTACCGATATTTAACGCTAGTGTTCAGCTCCGAGATTGTAACTTTCCTGCTTGCAAACTTTTACACTTTGTGGTAATATTTGCTAGCTGATAACATGAAAACATGAACTAGCATTCGTCGAATAACATCCTCTAACACATTTAAAACAGTACTAAGTAGACTGATGCTAACAGTTTTGCGCGCCCCGTGATTTTATTTAATTTTAGCTCGGTATAGAGCTAATCTGTTTGGAAATTCTCAGACATGTTAATGGTATTATATTTTTAGAGTATGCTGTTTTGCCATAGACGCGCAAGTTGCCAGTAGCAGTTTAATCTATGAACAACAAAGATAGGTGCGAGTTGACTGCTGGTGAAACAAGTGGTCGGAAACGATGTCTATAGGCTGAATGGGAACACTTTAAATGACGGGATTAGACAATGATAGGTCGTAATCAGCCTTCCACTAATTACTTAGCATGCTACTCAGAGAGTAAGATGTGCATGAAATCGAAAGTTGTAGAAAATATGTGTAAAACCTAGAATAAACCATTAGCTTGGTCGCAAGTGAAATTTACCTAACTGGTTTGCTCTGGCCGCTCAAAATATCAAGAATCATCAGCGCTATACGGCACATGGAGAAATATAGTTAAATTTCAACTGCCGATGTCGGGATATGTTGTTGCTGACATCCCATTGCACGTGGATTCGCAGCACTGCATTCTGGCACAGTTGAGAAAATACACCAAAATATCGAAAATAACCCGATTTTAGCCACCTGAAAGTGGACGGTAAGATGTTTAATGTTTGATGTGATGCCTGTCATCTAGAGCTTTCGTATTTATTTAAGATGCCAACATTTAACCATAACGGGGTCTTCGAAGCGGGAATGAATGGTTTTACTCCACGAGCTACTCTTATAGGTTTGGATTACTAGGTATTGTCCCAAAATGCACATCACCGACAGCGCTGCGTTGCTATGAGATTCCTGTGTTGGGTTGTTACATACCTTATAAATATCAGTTATCAGTCGATGAATTCCAGTGGCATATGCTTGATTTAGTAGAAACTGAAATTTATTGTCTAACTTTTAGTAGTAACTCTACGTGCGGCATTTCCAGTTTCTCGAACTAAATGCAAACCCGTAACAATAATAGTAACTTTTAAGTGAAGAAGGACTTACCCAGGATGGAAAGCGCGGTGGTGCGTCGGAGTGCGGATTGTCCTTCCGCGGGCGACACTTGACATTCAAATGTCCCCGCGTCATTGTTTGTCACATTTCGAATCAGTAAATCATGGACACCCAATCGAGCATCTCCCTGAATTGAATATCGCGGTCTGCTTGGAATCGCCCTAATATAACCTGCAAGAATAATATCATGGGATGGGAGGATGAAAACTTCTTGGTTATTCTCCATGTATCGATAAATCATTGCCAACTTTTATGCTATCCATAAGCTTTGCATGAAAATTGTGTCAGACATTACAAACTAAGCATCTGACACTGCTTCTATCTGTGAAATGGGTGTTAATTTAAAATCAGATGACAAAGATAGGTCGCCAAGATGAATGAACGAGAAGACAGCTCTAATTGCATTCATAACGTCTACGCTCTAGGCAATCTTCTAACTGTACATCTAAATAACAACAGAACCAAGTTAGACATACACGTGGCATCAGATATAGTTAATTTGTAAATTGTGGCAGTCGAAATATTTAAAAACAAACAAGGTGAGTTCATGGTTAGTTTCTTAAACATATTTATATGGAATACGTAAAAACTAACCTATATCATCAACAAAGGGTCGCAATATGCTAGGTGTTTTGATCAACTGATAATTGCGACTTTGATGCTTTCATGAAAATAAGCTGCTATGCAAAAGTACTTCAAACTCCACGGGTTATACAAAGCCTGGGATGTCAATTCAGACCCAGTAGTGAGAATATGATTGAGCACTTTTTGCTATTTTTGGTAAAATGAGTAACAGTCTATTCCGTTTAGAAACGTTTTTTTACTCAACGATCCTTGCAGAAAGTCAAGTCACCTGCAATCTCTCTTTTCAGTCCATCAGATTAATCATAACATTGCATTATCTACAGCCCATACGATTAATACCATCTCTTCTGTTTTAGTGTACCTATTGTGATTGTACCGATTGTAGCACTGTAATGTTAACGCAAGTGCCTAGTTCACTTAACGGGGATTTTAACTCAATATTAACTTAAAGAGGCTTCGCAATGCTAATCAGGACAGAAGACAATATTGCCTACTCGAACCAAAACCACCACTAGCATCACAATGCTAACTTTTATATCTGTCCTTCAAAACTAAGCAGATGACAAATATTTGGCGCTACATAGCGTTTTCACAGATGCCATTTTAACGTCAACTTGGTTTATCCCAAGCACTACATTCCGATGCCGCAAAAATTATGGGGAATTCAAGTAGAACTTTTCATGTGCCATCATGCTCCGCGTTGGAGGGAGGTGCTACCTTCTGGTAGCATTTCGCGCATGGCAATAGGGGCGTGATCTTACGTACAATGCCATTTATTCTCATTGCTTTTCTCAGCCGATGACCTTACTTAACGAAGTACGATTCAGCACCAAATTTCGATACAGCAGTTGTTGTCTACTAGTGGAATTCCTTCATATAAATCGCACTGGAAATGTAACTATTTCGCTCATATCGCATCAGTTGCTGTGAATATTTTAACCACGACAGGAACATAATTAATTCACAGCTGTTTGACCGTATCCGTCAGTGTCTGGAACTGTGACATGTGAATATTTAGAAGTTATTGTTCACTACAATTTTGGGCAACAATACTCAACGAGTTAGGCACATTCCAAGTTAGGCACATCCAAGCCATCACTGAATTGCAGGCGGTTTCAACGACCTTGAGAGGACGCGATATGTATCGCATACGAAAGATAGACGCAGAGCTTTCTCGTCGATTATTGCTTCAGATTTCATTCTAGGGATATAAAATACCAACGCTCACATCAGTGAAGTTGAACCGATTTTACAGAGAACATACTAAGTGTACTTGGTAGTAAGTAAACCCAGGCAAGATAATTCAATTTCGTCTAGGTCCGGAAGCATAGCTGGTGATAAGCAGTCCATCTCAAAGCGATGAAGTCACTGATGTTGGTACTCGATTCTGTTTCCGCTCACATAAGGAACGGCCAAATTAAACCCTGGAAATCGCAAAAAATCCAAAGACAGAGGAGTGTACTGTTGATAGCCTTATGCCAGATGCCATCCCAAAGAAAGATAGGTCTGCTATCTACCGCAGACAAAGCAGTCGAAATGCAGACTGAATTTACAGCCTAATCACTTATCTAACATCAAACAGTGCAGCTATGAACAGCTTACCAAAAACAAGTTCTATTATGTGTTGATGTGCGTCAAAATGCTCCACTTATTCTAAGAATTAAAAATGGCAACTTTGCCACTAAAACGTTTTCGGTTAAATGTTGCCTTGTGTATTGGTGCACAGCGAACTGCGTCACTTATGCGTCCTCCGTATTGTGCAATTCGACTGTTTCAATAAATCACTTATTCTACATTCCAAGTGAACCCGTTAATCCTGCTAACAACCTGCATCAATAAAGGTTGCACCGTAATAAGCAATGAAATTATGTTAACATTTAGTACCAAGAACTTGGTAAAATGTATTAAATGGAGTAAGCATCGCTAATCCGATTTCGGAAAGTCTGACCGGCCTAATGATTAGTTTCGGTAATGCCGGCTTTGATGGCGTCGCAGATCCACCTTGACATATGTTTTCATAAGTGAATCGTGGTGGTGGTTTTCAAAGCAATTAACCGTAGTAATTGGTTTGAACAAGATTTTATTGTTCGTAAATTAATGCATATTTAAATTCATCCGTGGAACACATTTGCATTATATTTTCGTCATGTTGTGTATATGCAACATTGACGCTGCCAGGAAGGTTATAATACCTCATTCAAGCGCCCCACTGTAGTGCGAAATTTGAGCACATTTACTAAAACGAATAATAGAATACAACTTCCTTTGTTCATCTTCAACGTTACGTATTTAAGGTAGCCTTTAATTTGAAAAATAGTCAAAGTATGAGTTATTAACGGAAATGCTTACATAACATTTTAAACTGAGGAAGCTAAGACAATAACATGAATAAATATAGATAGATGGAGCAAAATTAGCTATTAGTTTTTGCCTGAAAGTGCGATATTTCAATATTTTTCTTGGGTAACAGAGTTAATGCAAATGGTATGTATATAGCACGTGCAATCTTCCCAAGTCTCCCATATGAAAGTATACTTGAATACCTGATCAAATGAAATCAAAACATGGAAATTGAAAAGATTTATTCAAAGTATATTTTCACAATTACTGATGATCCAAAATGTACTAAATATTATCCATTTCAATGCCCTTGAAAATTGCCGATATTACTAACAGGTCATTTGGTTTGTGTACGGATTCTAAATACCCGGTGCTTACTGTTAAACTTTGCAACGTCCGTTTCGCGACATTCGCTATTTCACTCCTTTTCTGTTCATCTCAGTTAGCTTCTTCTGGTCAGTAGTTAATCGTCAACATTATAGGTGAAGTGGAGCACCGCATACATTTTACCATAAGGCTATTACTGATACGACCGCGCTGTCACATCAGTTTTATTCAGGAGAGATTGCAAGCTATCGAACATTTTAATTCGCATTTGCAAGAAGTAGTCACCAACATACCGCAGTAAAACCGCTCAATCTCTCAGGCTCGATTTAAAATGGGTGAGGAATCGTCTGTTTTATATATTGTGCTCACAGACAAAATATTGGTCCATTTTAAAAGGTATCGAAAGGTAGTTTTGCAGATATTGCTAGGCTGTTGTTCCTTTGCATCTGCTACACGAAACAGATAAGTCAAGAAGCGGGTAGCCTACGTTGTCACCCATTACGCTAGTCTTTCCATCCCCGTTCACGAAACTAACTGGTCTTTCCTAGCCGAACTGCTTGGCGACTTCGCCTGGACAGAGTTTGTCACGCAGTTACCCAGGATAGTGGCAAATGCGTTGGTACCCAAAATCATTCGCTCAAAGCAAACAAAGTCCTACCTGAAGATTCACGTTCAAAAAGGCATGACCTTGAATTGTCCCGCCTGGCTTGTTTATGAAGCCGGTCCGAATGGACAAGCCAGGGAGGACTCGCCACTCACGGAACCATTGCGTCCAGCTGGTCGGAAAACAGCTCAAACGCAAACTATAATTAACCCTGAAAAGTACAATCACTTTTAACTTGATGTATGTCCGCTTCAATTAGCACCGCGGAGCGCAGTGCGCAATCCCAGTTCTAAATGCTGCAAGTGCACTTGCGCTAACTAAACAAGTGACAACATTTCAGTCGTCATTTCTACTGTAAATCATTAACTTACCCTCCTTTGACATAGCTCAAGCCGCCACAGAAATAAGCCTCGCAGCGAGTGTGACAGAGTGACCATTGTGTTTGCGTTAGCACTGCTCTCATGGCGTGAAAAACAAAAACCTAAGGGCACAATAGCAGTCGCCATGACTCTTGCTGGACGTTGGCTCAATTCTTTCAAAAATGTCTTGATGAAATACAGGTTCGGACGTGGGGAAACATGGAGTAGTCACTCATATTTATAGTGCCAATAGTGCAAAGCACTTGGACTACCGCCCAGGTGCTATTCAAATTTTTGGAAGCTATTACTGCTAAGGCGCTCAATGCATACCGTCAGATAAACAACATATTAGGGTCACTGCTACATGGATGCTACGAAAATCGGTCACGCACTGCAAAAATGCTGGTAACTCGAGCGAGTTGCATGAAATCTGTCGAATACAAAGCACACATTGTATACCACATATTCTCAAGCTGTCCAACCACCTAGACTACTGCATTCTTCTTCAAAATATCTTAAGCTATGGATTCGATAACGCTATCCTGGAGTAGATAAGAAGCTACCTTTTTAGTGTTAGCTGAACGTGAGCATTAAAGATGCAATTCTGATCCAACTGAAGCCCAGCGTAATGTACTCAAATGATCGGTACTGGGACCGAGCCTATTCTTAGTCTGCATAAACGATCTTGCTCATGTACTGTAGTTGAACTCCTTACTAATTTCAGACGAGGTCAAAATCTGGCATGAAATCAAAACAGTGGAAAATCATACGATGTTAAAAAGCGCTCTCAGTAGAGCTTATATGTGGTCATCTGGGAAACTATCGCAGTTCAACAAGACGAAATACAATGCTTCGCGAACGACCGATTGATGTGCTTGCAAGTATGTATTTCGGAAATCATTTTTACCGTATGCTTTCATTCAAAGCCATCCGGGAGTAATTATTCTGGATAATCTTGGATGCTCGAATGACTCCATAATAGCATGGAGAACGGTCGGTCATTATTTTACCTTCAGCGGAACACATTCAGGGTTCCCTAACTGCTATCTTTTCGCAAATGTGGAATCAGTAGGTCAGGCTTTACGCGGACTGCTCCGTCCAAGCCATGCAGTCCCTGGATCAAAAACGATATTAAACAACGTTTAATTCCAGATGAAGAGGACAAAATTCGTCGGGAGCTTTTTCACTTCACATGCTGACTTAGAAAGCATGCCCGTGGATAACCCAGCTGTGAGTATGGGCGTCTTCTAGGAGATCTTTTCACGGTGTACGTAATAATCGCGAATCTTAGATAGGCTTACCGCGATCTGTTGCAACTAAACTGCAATAATAAAACCAGACGCCAGTAGCTCAAGTTGGTTACACCATACATTGAACTTAGTTGCTGACAAAATCTCTCCTCTTTGATATATCGGACAGAAACCGCTCTTTTCTTCTGTCATTTCTACACCTACGTTAAGGCTGTTCAAAAGTAGAGTTGATGAAAGGTTATTACAGTTACCCTAAGCGACATGGTACATGTTAATAGGAAGAACTAGCGCGAACCAAGTATCGCACTCATTGGCTCCTTTGTATTGCAGCGTTGGGTAACCTGCGTCTGTTGTAATTCGAATAGCTTGTAAAGTCACTTAAACCCCAATTTCACTTGCCTTCTTGTCTCTTCTGTCTTTAGCTTTGTATTGCTTATCTCTACCAACCTACAGGAATTGCAAATCGCCTATATGTTACACTCCAAAAAGCCATGTTAATTGTTCATTGCCTGACACACTACTCACTTGTCCTCAAAGTCGGATGTATGGATAGCCATAAAATTGGTAGACTTGAGAACAAACACTGCCCGGGTGTATTGCTTGCCTCATTTCGCCGGATTTTGCTCATCATACTTTTATCTATTCTGTCATGTTAGTACACTGTAAACTTTATTCCGTTAACACATTTGTGAACGCGCAGTTTACAGCAACCACTGCCTGACCCTGATTCTTCATGCGAAGATATTCAGTTTAAGTCTGCACATCCGAAGTATAGATAGAGTGCGCTAAAAGATCCGTCTAGTATTTCGCTGTCCAACATGTTAGATATTCGTTTGTTTTGCAAAACGGCCTTCTAGTTTGACTCACTTGGACACGTCGTGGCTAAATTTTAAAAATTTGGAGAGAATGCGAAACTTATAGTTACTCAACAGTATACGTCCCGATGGCTATCACTTTTGGAATCGTGGCGCTGAAGTTGCTAGAAAATGTGGAATCCGTCCGGAGACAAACTGGATCCCGTCATGCTCGACACATTTGTTTGTGTAGCTTTAGTTGGCCATTTGTTTACCCGCTTAAATTAAAACTGGAACAGACGGAGTCAAATTTTATCCCCCTCACAACATGTAGTCAACATCTTGCTTAAACTTCCCTACTTCATCATTAAATTATGGTTAATTATAGTGCTGTTATAGTAATTACAAACCCCCAACTACTATCTTCTGGCTTCTGGAGTAAGTGCCTACTGACAATATTCATTGTTCCAATATGCGCTCATTTCAAACAAGCGCCTAACTGAACTTAAAGCTCTAACGGATTATATGCATATAACTAAACCGTTCTTACTAAATATTAACATGTATAGCTCAGTTCTCTGTATGTCAGTAAGAGCATAACAAGGACAGGACATGCTTACAGTTTTAACGGCTGCGGCTAGTTAGTAATGTCATGTTACAATGAGCCGAATCCCATCACCATTGTAGACTGCAAATGATTGAACAAACTTCAGTCATCGAGCCACTCTATGTGGCTCTATATATCTATATATATACTCTATATACTCTATACTCTCTATACTCTATATATATACTCTATATATATACTCTATATCTAATGATAAAAGCTGTGATCCTTTCGTGAAGTATGTTCTTAAAAGCAAGTTATTCATAGCTGGAGCCTGATAACACGAGAGACACGATTGCTGGATATTTTAATAATCAGACCAACTCTACTCTCCGCAAAACTGGGACTTTTATATCGGCAATTGAAGACATCTATGGAAGATAACACATCGAATACAAAAGAACCCAACTTATTAAACAGCTGCATATTGACTCGATTATTACTCTTGAATATTCGCTTAGCGTTTAGCGGAAAGACCCAAAAGCATGCACGATATTTGGTGTGATTATCTGCCACTGTAGTTGTTGGATTCATGCAGGTGGCCTTTTAGTAAGTAGGATAATTATTTTGATCAATATATGTTGATAGTGCATGTAACCAGGCTTGTATGAAGTCACATTATTGGCCAGCTGCAAAGCTACCTAAATAAAATTGTTGTGGTATTCGACAACATCCTTTCGCAATTCTTGAAGAGTAATACGTTTAGTGAAAATGTTAGAGCTACCATTTCATTTATTTTTACGTCTTCCAGAACTTTCCCGCTTTAATCATTCCAGTACTTATGTTCATTCCCTCCAGAACATAACGGTCAGTCTGACGTAATAATTTAGTTATGGTAGTTAAAGAATCGAACTGGTCGCGATGCACATATTACGTGTCTTTCCATAATGTTTTGCGCCCAGCGTATAGTTACTGGCTTACTGCGTTTAGTTCAAACATGCCAAACAATTCGGCTTGGTCAAATGGTTAATGTAACACCTTGCGTAATTAAACCAACAAACTGTTTCCTTTCCGCATGCAAGAAGTTGCTTATTTCATGCGGCTAGTAAATGCAAAAGGTTTACTAACTGTCGAATTTCTAAGACGAACGCCTGTATTAACAATACGGTGAGTGAACTTACCTAACAAAAAGTTTCCAGCTCTCCACTGAACTTTACCACGTTGATGTGCCACTCTGCACCGCATCAATACATCTTCTCCCTCTGATACCTCATATTTCTCTGCGGGTAACTCCCGAAGGCACTGGATCTGCCTCAAACTTTCCTGCGGTGTGCAAGGAGCAGATTGTTCATTTGTCACAGAATTTTCCTGATCATTAGTCACCACTGAACAATTTTCAAGCGTGTTTTTTCCGTGGTTGCACATTTTAACGTCGCCAGACACAGGGTGAATGAATCGTGTATCAGAATGGGCGGACAATTTAAGCCATTCATGGGTCCCGTTGATGCGCCAGGGAGTGATTGGGGGTAGGCCGATTGGGGGAAGAGACAGAAGTGAGTCAGATACTGAATCAACGAAGCTGTTCACTGCGAAGATTTGTGTCATGGTAAAAGACAACATCATCACAAGCCATGGTGTAAAGCATTTCTGACTTGGCAACGACATTCGCCCTGTAGTGCACGTTTTGGATGCTGTCGCTTAGGGCTGAGAGAGCCCTGGATTCAATCATTCGCTTTGGTGGTCAACAAAACATGATATAGCTTCCTCTAACAAATAAAATACGTTTATTGAGACCGCAATGTTTCATCGCGAGAAGTGTTGCTGCATTAAAGGCAAAAGACTGAGAGCTATGGCTGTGTTAATAGGATGGATGCGATTGCACAGTACAATACGACACCATGTAGACGACAACCGCCCAATAGGGATGCGGATGATGTTGCTTTGAATGCTGCTCATTGGATAGGCGAAATGGCTTGAGAACACCGACGGCGATTGAATGAGGCAAGTGTGGAGGAAACATTATTAGTTGACTATACACAACTAGGTATTACAATAAAATTTTGCTAAAACTACAACAGTCTGGAGTAAACATCTGTATCAACGCTTTCCACTTGTTAATTACTCAAGCCCTATGGGCTTAAGCTGATATGAGCTGGGAAATGTGCTCGTTGACAACGGTAAAACAAAACACGTTTTCTCATCCCCAATATGCGTAGTACACTCCTAACACAGGAAAGGAAGTATATGCATCAGTCCGTAATAATAGAATATTTATATTCGTCCGCATTTTTTCGTGTCTCTCCATCATCGTTTGATGTGTCAATGCTATCAACAGTTTCTTTTAGTCACCATGATAAGACCTTCGGGAACGCACACTAGAAATTAAAATTATACATGGGCATTGTGGCTGCTTGTTCCTCCGTCAGTTGTTACGCACACTGACTGCAACATGACTGCCTAAATGTTAGAATTGCATGCGCAGTGCATTACCATAAGTAAGTATAGTTGTGTCTTCCATGCATCACACCTGTCGTTTCAAGAAGCTTTTCCCAAAAGTCTGATTTAGCGCTCAATGCTTACGAAGATTGGAAAAGTTTCCGTGCTATTTTTAGTATTTTTGCCTTCCAAATCATCCAAGATGTGAAGAATTCGGTCTAACTTCTTAAATGGTTAATCCAAATGATGACAGCACGTAAAAGAAACAGTGTTTATATCCTGGGTGATCACATTTAATAAGCTAAACACTACTAAAATGAACCCAATATCGTCTTATATGCTGAAAAGCAACAAATAAATAAATGCTATAGTCCCATGCGGTGCCAGGCACAGTCCAACTATGTGGTCTGATTAATATGTATTCCACTATTTTTGGTGTTTGCTTCAGCCTCACAATGAAATATGCACTGGCTAGTTATAAAGTAAGCAACCTTACTTCTTATCTCTTGTATTCATCTACTTGATATGTGGTACGCAAACTGCTAGAAATTGGAAAATTATCAAAGCATACATGGGTAAATACGGATCACAACCCTTTTGCAATTGTCCGTATCATAGAATTGTAGCACAGATCATTAGAATTAAATTTTCCGATTGTACCGTTGACTCAGTGGATACGGGTTGGTCACGAGGCCCAGTAGTATAGAACAAAGTCTAGGGTTTTTCCAGATGCATTGCGTCCATCAGACTGAGGCTGTCTGCGAAGAGCTAATACAAATATTCAACACATCTGCTTACTGCTCTTCGCTAATCAGCAATCGCCCCAGCTGCATGCATGGCGTCTTAATTTTTGGTAGATTGCAGAGAAAACGTTGGTTCTGGGGGTCATCCTTACTCTAACCACTAGCGTCAGTATGTGCATGATAGAGCAGGTTCAATAGCAAGCACGATGAACAGTTTGCACCAGCGTAACTTAAGGACATTATTTGTTTGCTTGTAGGAGTAAAGTTATGGGTTCGAATTCAGAAAGATCCTATTGCAGCGCACCATTAATAAGTTCCAACAGGTTGATATAATTGACTAGCACCTTTTATCATAAGTGATAGTCTGCTGACTAAACCAATCGGTGAAGAACATATTCAAAAGTACAACAGATTACCTACTAATATCAAGTTCTATAAATTTTATGTTTTTGAACTCAGTGTACATATACACTGCTGGTGTTTAGCCGATGCCACCGCCTGTTTAGGGTAATGACTGGGTTTCCACGACCCGCCGAATACAACACCCAGTTTTATCAGTGTATTAGCGTCAGACAATAAGACACGAAACAGCTCAGTGCAGGCTTGGAGTTTGAAAAGGTTACATAAAAGTTAACACAAGTCTAGATTCGCTGTGAGTTTCTAAACGATTATACTATTTTTATCCGTATATTGTTTGAGATTTCATATTTGAGTGCTTTTAATGTACAAATTGTTTATCAGCATTGATTTTGTCAGTGTACAAGTAGGCAGCCTTAGAAAACGTTGCCTACATGTCGAAATCATTTGGCTTCTGCTTTTGTAAGGCATGAGTCAAGGTAATAAGCTTTCAGCTGATTTAAGGTGATCCCATCTCGTGTCGGCATGAGTGATAATTCATACATCGCTTTTACCTGCGACTCCATGCACACAGTTCATTCTTGCGGAAAGCAAGATAGTCCAAACTCGATGAGGATTCTGAAAGCTGCATAAGATGAAAAAATAGCCAGAATGCCGTTATTAGCGGACCATAAGGTGCTTAAATATGGACATTTTGGTGTGGTCACTTTTTCGTCTGCACTTCATTGTGCGCATTTTGTGTGTGAACTTTCTTCCTTGTGGGTCTTCTTCGTCTGCACAATTTATCTGCGGGCTTTTGCAGTTCACCATTTTGAGTGCACTTTTAATAATGAACGCTTACACGGTAGTCTTGAAAAAGATAGTATAGAGCAATGCGTCTAGTGTGAAGTATACACGAGGTGCTCATATTGAGAATCAAAACGTTCAATGCGGGGATCGTCGCAATAAAGAGACATAAAACGAAAGTTATCTGATTTTAGTATTTTTTATTCACTTGGAGCGTCTATGAATAATCATGTCTAATAGTACCTTTAGCATAGTTTGCTGATGTAGAGAATATTAAGCGGTGACCATCGGTCGGAATTTTGAAACATTTAGTAACACTTAACTAGCAAATTGTAGGTTTATAAAATGGAAGCAGAATGCCATTGCACTTGGATGCATTCAACGTCAAACAGCCGTGTTTCAAAGATTCCACGGTTTATCTAAAATACTCTACAGCTGTTTGAAGAGCATAAGGTTGGATGATTCATGTTGATGTATGTGTAATGAGCCACCTCAGCACGATGTTTTCTTTAGAGCTAAAGAGCATCATGACAAAAAACTTCCTTATCATATGTGGCGAAGAGCTTCTGCTGCCACACATGTTGACTTTAGTACGTTTTCCGAAGTAATCATTTAGAAATAAGTCTGAGTAAGATTTTACACAAAACGTGTGTAGCTTACGCAATAGCAATTCACGTTAGCATGGTAAAATGCGTTACTAACTTCTATGCAGTGGAGACATGTGGTTTCCTTCTTACTGACTAGCGACAACAACACTGATTGTATCAAAGAAGCCAATGCTTCTTATGTAAATTTCAGCTTTCATGTACAACAGAATTGATCCACTAAACTGGATTGGGTCAGCATTCCACGTGAATAGCTTTCTAAAAAACCTACAAATCCACCGAAATGCCTGCAATAAGTTAATATTTACCCACCGCTTTTTCGGTACTGACGTTATACAAGCAATCTCCTAACAATCTGAGGGTTTGTTTTCCTTCGGATCATTGCGTGCGACGCTGCCACAGGCTGGTCTAAGAAAAATCTGTGCGCTGCTTAAGGACGACAAGAGACAACCTGGCAAGTCCGCTTAATTTGCTGGGTTTGGAAGCAATGATCCAACGTCGACAAACTGCGGTAAGTCCATAGAGCAGTGAAACTGTGCAAATGAAGAGTAAGAGAGTGAGACGCTGACGGAGCAGCAAAATATAGAGTTAAGCAGGTTCTATGAAAGACTAGGTAGTATTTTTGTCCGCATATATTCATTGTTCAGCCCAACAAACACTTTAACTGGTAGTTCACAAAGATTATTTAAACGAGCTCCAGACTGATTTTAATCATATTCTGATATTTCAAAGTTGCGGTTCAATTCTTTCACGGCCACAACAGATCGGATAACATACAGATTTTTATGCTACGTCGTTTCATCATACGCCAAATGTCAACATCAGTGTTTGTTCCCATAATTGTCTGGACAAATAGATGTTTAACTTGTGGCTTTTGAGTGCTCTCTTGTGCTGTGTTGAAGAAAATCCATCAGATTGATTATTACTTAGGCACAGAATTTTGCTGCGTTTGCATCTAAAAACAAACTAAGGTTTGTGGAATTAAGCATTTCCTTCATGCACTAAATTTAGAGTACGAGATCGTCTCCATTTCCGCCTACGGTAATTGCAACGGGTTGCATCCTAGTAGTTTGTCTTCCTTTAGGCAACAGGGGGTAGCTTGATCATAGAATGATCCAAGATGACAAGTGATGCCCGATCACAGACGGGTAATATTTCCGCATTATTGGCAACTACTAGGTTTCGGTTCTCCTTTAACTTGGTAGGTGAAGTCACAATATTCCGTGACGCAACAGTCCTAAAGGATATATATATATAGGTCCTTAGCAGACATGTACAGGGATTAGTTAATTTACTCAGTGACGGCAGCCGTAAAAAGCATCACAAATATGACTACTTTGTATTCAGGACAACTGTGAGATATATAAATGGAATATATTTGAATAGGGCGGTTTGCAATCAGGTATTCCGCTTACCGTTTAGGACTTAGCATTTGAAACATTGTCACAAGTAGCATAA